TTCCGATCAATTGTTCGTCTCTTTTACAGACGTATTTTTTTTTTTTTTATATTTCAGTCGAGAACAGTTTGGCACGATATGATCGGTCGACATTGTCCAATTTTCGGCGTCAATCGCGAGGTATTCATCAATTGAGTTGTATGTGTTGACATTCTCTTCAACTTTTCCTTTCCATTTTCTGTCATGATTTAAGCAACTGATCCATTTCAATCTTTAGGTTTTGGTTCCTATACCGAAGCCGGTCGGCTACACAGGAGCTGATCCATATAAAATGTAAGAATCTTGTACTCAAGATTGTTCTCTAATTTCTTTTAGTTCACGTCAAGTTCTAGGAGTGCTGAATTATTTTAAACTGGAACGGACGGTTTAATTGTACATTAACTGAATAATAAGTGATTATATATATCTGAATCTGATAGCCTGCATTTGCTAATCAAGACTCTCTCGTTTCGAAGCATGTGTCATGCGTTGAAGTTCTTACAATAATGATGCAAATGGATTCTTCTAGAGTGAGAAGAATAGTATGGTCGGTTCAATAAATTTACTCGCTAGCAACCTGCAGAGGATATTCTTATTCTACTTTTGTCTAGTTTCGATGATTTGGTACCATATCTCATCTAGTCTTATCGTTTATGCTGTGTGAAGAAAATTTGTTTCATCTCTTTTACTTAAAACTTATTTCTGAATAAAGGAAAAACAGTATAATAATTGACGTGACATAAAACTATTTGTAGTATGCAACAATCACTACTAGAACTTGAATTTCTCCTCACGTCATCTGTAGACAGCTTTGAAAATCAGTAGAAGGTTGCAATGTTTCCTAGTGCCTGCTATCTATCTTCGAGTTTGTATTGTTTTTTTACAAGTTTTTGATTCTCTGTTGCATCGCACCTACAATGTGGAAATGGAGAAATGAGAGTGTAGGTGACGTCTAGGGATTATGCTTAGAAGAATAACCTTAAGATTTTTTCATGCAATTAATCTCCTCATTTTACCTTTATTTTTATTTCTAATTATAACTACGGGAATAGACTGTCATGATACATTATTATTTCATCAACTGGTTTTTCACTACCATGAGTTGGCTTAGTTGTTAAAAATGCAATTTACATTTTAGATGTTCGTCAAGGTTATAGTTTTAAATTTGTGTGATGACCGCTATGATACATAGCAAGTTGTCATCAAAATGTGTGACGAATACTAAATTGTTACTATTTCCATAGATTTTACGATAACAAATAATAATGGACATAAAGACCATCTTATGGGATTACTTGAGCACATTTGAAGTTATAGTTGATCTATATTCTTCCCATTATTAATATATTGTGTTTGCTTTTCTATTTGCCACAATGTTCCATCCTGTTTATGAATTATTACACTTTTTGAGTTATCTGGTTGCATACATCTTCTTTGAATGTAGATCCTTTCAAGTTGGAAAAGAAAAGTTTCTTGTCCCATGGCTTCTTGTGATCAATCGCAAAAGTGCACAAGTTCCAATGATTGATGTCCACTTGGTATGGTATTTATTATAGATAGATTAGATATCTGTTTATTTTCACAGTTCATAGGGTGGCAATCTAGTCTTTCACTGCTGAGCTGAGTTTCTGAGTACTTACATCTGACAACCATTGTCAATTTATTTGTGCTGCAGAGGTACTCTGGAAGTGATCTTCATGGTGTGACTGCCAAAGTAATGGATATGCCTCATATCTGTATGTCCCAACTCTGTTAATGATTTCCACACTCCTTCCTTAACGCATACATAGGAATATTGTTCTTTTTGCTAGGAAATATTTATATTCCCCAGTCTGATGATAGTAAACTCTATAAAAATCAATTGCACTTTATTGGCATATCTAAAACTGATATTGGAGAAGTTTATTTAAGCTAAGTGAAGAGTACGATTGACTACTCCGTACATATAAGTTGGAGACCTAACTTTTTTAGAATGCCTATTGGCACTCTAGTGCAGCACCAAGTGAAATATCGCCATCTTACATAAGTCTGTACATATATATAATATATGGCTCCTTTTGCTAAAATCACATTAACATCTGATCTAATAGAATCTGGGTTAATTGCTGAAACTTTTACTTTTAGCATGTTTGCTGACGAGCTACCTACGCAAGAGACAGTCTCACTATTTTTAAAGAGACCTATATGAGATAATCAAAAGTAGTTTGGTAGACCCCGTGTTATAGGAATGGGAGATAAGAGTGAAATTTCGCGTGAAGAATTGTGGGATTATGTCAGATCGTTTGTCTTTGTGGTGTTCTGTTATTTTTGTAATTATGATCCAAGTCAAATTTATGCCATGGCTCCCATGGCTCTTGGGGATTTCTCATCTCCTTCTTTTGCACATATTTTCTTCGATTAATGATCATGTCTAACCCAAAAGGTACTTATTTACATATAAATGATTTACCCTCACTGAATACTACTCTTATCTCACAACTTTCCCGCCCTTCAATTAGTTGCATCACTTGGTCACAAATGAGGGCATCATTCAATTTACCTGTACTACTACAACTATCCACAGGGCAATTCCCATTACTCTCTTCTGATATACATGAATATCCGAGTCCCTATCATAGTTCTCCATATCAAATGACAGTCATAGCTCTCCAGTATAATTGTCTGATATTCAATTTGTACAAAAGAAATCATTTCCAGTACATATCTGACAGCTGTTTCCTGCCATTATTCGTATCTCTTTAGTCTCGATGTAATGGGTGTATCCACTAGCTTCATCCTATAAATTGTTTCCAATGCATTTATATCATTGTTTGTCATTGCTTTTATCTGTTGATTGACGCCATGATAAGTCTTGCAGTATACATTAAGTTCAGATAACACGGTCAGTCTCGAGTGGCCGTTGTCTAATACCTGATAGGAGGACAAAAATATTATGAGTAGTGGGTTTCTGTGAATTTTTTAGAACTTGTTGAGAGTTCATATCATATTTGCTTTAACTTGTTAAATTCTTAACCGATTCATCTGTATTGCACCTTGTCTGAGTGAAGTTTTTCTTAGCGTTCTGACTACTTTCTTCTCAATAGATCTTGATTCGCATCCACATATTAGCCAACAATTCTGGGATCAACAGCATTGGCCAAAGCATATCCTTGTCCGTTATACATGGTAAGTCATCTGTATCTTATTTGATTGAAGCTTATTTTACAATTCTTATTCTTATGATAAACCAGTTTCTTCTTATTTTTATGATAACCAGTTTCTTCTTATTTTTATGATAAACCAGTTTCTCATGCTTATTTTGCAATTCTTTTCCTTACCACAGGTAGTATTTTTTTTCTAAGAGACAATTTCATTGATGATTGAAATTTACAAAAGAGATGTATAATCCATGGTATTTACAAAAGACCTTCTCAATTTGCAATGAGGGAGGTATAACTATAGGTAGTAAAAATATTAGACTTAGTTTACACCAAGATATAGCTTAGTAAACAACATTTTCGAATAGTTTTGTGTAGGTCTGTCTTTTCTGCAAATATTCTCTGATTTCTTTCTTACTACATAGTCAAGCGTATACTTTGCATATTTCGAAATCCAAACATGGCAATCCAATTTCTTAGTAAGATCACTATTTAAACAATAATATTAATGATGATGACATTGTAGTTTATGATTGATAGATAACACATCACAACGTAGTTTCGTCCATAGGATTTGATTTATGAGAGGACTCAACCGGGAAGCGAACAGTAGATTGTGCTTGGTACATTGATTGTGAAAGTATTAACAAAACAGTGGACAGAAAATGGAATGCAAAGAGAAATAAAAAAAATTGAGTAATATATATATACAAAATGGATATGATTGGGATTATTAAGCTTTTCTGCAACGTTCTGTTAACCCTATGTTCTTGGCGTGTTCCAGGGAGGAGCAATCGGAGATTGACGTGACTTCCGGATTATATGTTTTGTTCGGATCAGGTAAAAACACTTATTCTTTTATGATAACTGCTGCCGCGATATTTTCTTTTCAGAGTGAGGGATTTCTTCTGACGACCACTTTACTTCCTCTGCATCTTAATAATTCACATGCATAATCCATACAACATATATAAGCTCATTACTCACGTAGTTTTAAAATTTCAGCTTCATTTCTTTTTTCTTTTTTCTTTTTCAAAAATAAAAACTAAATATGTCCAATGTTTTTTGTTTTCGTTTTTCTAAAAGCAAAAACCAATAATTCTTTTATCACATATACTTTTTGGATTAAAAGGAAGTTTTGGTCCTAAATTGTTTTCGAAGAAACAATTGTCTCTAAACTTTATTTTTGTAATGATTTAGTCTTTGCACTGCCAAATTTTTAACAATTTAGTCTCTAAATCTTAGTATGTTGCAATTGGCCTCTCTTATTTAAATTGTGTAATGAAAAATATTGCCAAAAATTAACTTCTAATTTTAATGATGGTAGGGGACTTAATTTACAAATGTGAAGGTAATTTGTTAAAGTTCACATTAAATTGTTACAAGTTTGAAAGTGCATAGACTAAATGGTTATTTTTTCTAAGTTTAGAGACAAATATTCTTAATCTTGTTTTTTTTACCAGTGGTCATACTCTAATTTTATTTTGCATTCTAAAAATTGAATATAATTTTTAAATATTTTATTAGCTTATTTATTGAAAATTTTCATTATATTGATCTTTATAATTTATTAGATTGAAATACTGAAAAAAAAAATTAGAGGGAGGTGTGAGAGCAATGGAAGCGAGAAGATGTTAGATATTTGTGTCGGAAAATAAAAAACTGATTTTTTTGCTTTTTTTTAGAGCAATGTATAAAAGTTATAGATTATTAAGAAAGGTAATCTATATAGAAAGATAAGCTAGAGCGAGGGAGTTACTTCTGAGTAGAACTTTTTGAATGTCAATAGAAGGAAACTGGGATTTTGAAAAAACAAAAGCCTCAAGACTTTGTTTGAATACGTTTTTTTTTTCTTTTTTTCTTTTCGTTTCTATTTTAAAAAAAAAAAAAACAAAACCAAGCATATTCCATTCCTAACTTTAGGAATACAAAGACAATATGTTGGGTAATGTTTTCTTTCTGTTTTTGGTTTGCAACTTTATTTTTACCTTTTCATTTCTTAAAAATAATGTTTGATAATTTATTTAGTTCACTTTTTCCATACATTCTGGAAGTTTTAAATTTTTAGAAAATACCAAAGTTCTTAGGAACAAAATCCTGTTTCTCAACAAGCTACCCCTAGAAGCCACCTTTTAGAAGCAGATTTCTTTTCTAGTTAAATAAGTGATACATATCTTTCTATTGCTGATTGTAAATATATATACATTGTTTGTGTTTTTTAAATAGAAAATCGTGAACTAAAAAAAAAAAAAACAACGCAATGGAACCGGCCTATATGTGGGAAACCAAACTTTTCTAATAATGATGGTTAACCTACTCTATTATGGTAATGAAATATAATTTCTAAAAGAAAAAATCGTATAATGTTCAAACATTATCATTAAATTTATTTAAATGTTAGAAAGAAAATTTTAGAGGTAGGAGTTTGAGAAAAGTAGGACAGAGAGGTTGGAAGGAAAGAGAAAATTTAGAAATTGATATATTATAGAGAGAAGGGAAGGCTTTAGAGAAGAGATAGAGTTGGAAAGAAAGCAAATTTAGAGAGAGCAGTATAAGTTAGAAAAAGAATAGTTTTGAAGGGTGTGACATATGTGGTGCAACAGGTCTGATGCTGACTTTTATTCTGTCAATTTACATATTGCAATCATCGAAGGAGAAGTTAGCAAGGTATGAATAAAATTTTGGGATATGATAATAGGAACAAAGATTATTGGGGTTTAACTGGTTCCCTTTTTTGTTGATATTATTCCAGGTTTGTCAGAGAAACAGTAGTTGAAAGCAGCATTCCTGGCGTAGGAGTGGCAAAAGTTGAATAGACTCACTCCACAACTCTACAACTCACTCCGTCTTACTCCTTAGGGTTAGGCTCCATTACGTCCAGTTCAAGGAAGCTCAATTACAATCACTATCAGATTTCACATTTCTTTTGAACACAAAAATGTAACTCTTTATTTTATCTGTATGGTAAGGTGTATATGCAACTCGGAAGACAATTACAGAGACCCTTGTTTTCAATTTCTAGGTCGGGAGAGAATCTTCTTTTTTGTACATGAGACTAGACTAGTTGCGTAATTGCCTGCTATTGTAGGCTTCTATACTTTCTACTTTCGTCTCCATAACCGTCATCTCCCTTGGAAACTTCTAGAGAGTATTTTATATTATTCACAGTTCCCACTTTCTAATTCTTTGACTTCACATAGAAAGTTAATTTAGGCTTTTACTTATTTGTACTTTCTATTAATCGTCTAATTTGAAATCATTTTGATTTTGTAATTCAATATGTATAAATAAAACCTTTGTCCAAAACAGGCAAGTAAATAAACTAATATATGACATGTCTAGGTAAATTAAAAATTTTATTACGCCGTAAGGATCAACGTTTGGTTTCGTTTAATAATAGACCTAAAACATTTTTTTTTTATGTTTTTTTTAAAGAATTGTTGGCCAAATTCAGACTATTTGTTCAAATTTCAAAATAAACTTTGTAAATGTTTATTAAAATCAATTAGTAAAATAAATAAACACAAGTGGAAATATTATTTATAAGCTTGAATTTCAAAGATATAAAATCTTAATAATTCAAAAAATGGTTCAAATTTTTATGAAAAATGTATAGAATTTAATAAATAAATAAGTAAAAAAGTGGTAGATCCCAATAGAATATAAAAATGTGTAGACTTTCATGCTCCGATATAGAAAATTCTAACGTAATGACAAAAATATAATGTTAACTAAGGGTGGTAGTGCAGGCGGCTAGCAATATAGAACTATATTTCCAGTCGTGGCCACAATAATGGTTTCCCAGAAGCCAATAGTTAGTACTAATGGTTAAATAAATATGTGGGCTACCTAATTTTGAGTTTGTAAAGAGATTGTGTTCAATATTTAGTTTGAATTTGGTGGAAATATAATAATGAGGTAAGAACATCGTGAAGTGAAGTATGCGTGTGCGGTGTGCTGGTGGTCATATGTTATGTTAATGCATAAAACTTAAACAAAAAAATGGTATTAAATGATGAAATATAATATATAAGTATACACACATACCTGGAAGGAATATGGAGAACTGAGATTGTCAGGAAGCGTCTTTCCGCACAAGAGAATGGGCAGTTGGTTGGTGGGTAGTTGTTGCTTCCGTCTACACATTCGACCAAAAGATCCTTTAACAAACTAAACAACTACTTCCTTCCTTCCCTCGACATATTAGAATGTGGCATTCACGTTTTACCATACTGATAAAAGTTCAACCTCTATTCCAAATATTAGTAAATAATATTCCCAAACTAATTCCAAAAATAGGCATAACATTCGAATCTTACTATCTTTGGTTTCATTCCATTCCCATTCGTGGTCTCATACCAGTGAGAATATCGCTCCCCAACACCCTGAAAAATGAAATTATGAGGCCATAATCACAATTCCATACCCATTCGGAATTCATATATAATAAGAAGCAACATGAAATTATGTGAGGTGGAGTATATACACTATACGCCTCACCACATTAATCCGTTTGAATTAATCACTTCTATTATTTGGAGATTTTGCTCAATACGATTTCTAAGCATACTTATACCACATCAATCATGGTAAAAAATGTTGAGCATTCGATCTGTCGGGAATTCATGAGTAAGAATTTCTTTTACTTATTTGTAGTTAGTCTCTTAATCTTCTTCCAAGTCTTCTAATTTAGCGAACGAATAATGTGTATACCCTCACCTATAACCGAAATTCAAACAATCGTTGAGGAATGTGAGCTTGTTTCAGAAATATCAACGGTCGGTTGCTACAATAATTGAAGGGGGATGGCCGGATCTATAATAATTGGTTTACTCCTTACTCCAGCTAACTTTGTCATGAGGATATCCGACTTTCTTTTATTTTCCCTTAAATTTCATTTCATAATTGAACCTTATCGCCTTATGAGGCCTTAGAGGACGAGCAAAGTGATCTTATGGAGTCTACTAGTTTTGGTTACTTGACAGGCATAAAAATAATTTCTAGACAATTTTTATTTTATCATATACATCTTCAAACTAGTTATTTGTAAATGTTGCGTTTCTGTTCAATCACGAGACAAAACTATATTAGAAAAAGAAGAAACCGTTACAATCCCAAAAATAATTAACTAAAAATATTTTCATAAAGTTTTTAATCAAAGGCGTAAAGGAGATGGTTAATAACAAACTCAAATGTTTGCTTTGCTATCTGAAATAACTTGTGGTTCCTTCTAATAAATTTTTGTGAGGATTTCAAAACTACTTCAGTAGAAATGTATTAGATTGTTCCAACCAAAAATTGGTTACTTAAAAGAACAATAACTTAAAAGTTATAAATAAAAATTCCTCATGTAATTTAATTTTTTTTTTTTTTTGTGACTAAATTAATAAAAATACTTTAAAACTTTTAAAAAAATTTAAAATATTTTTTAAAATTTTATTAATACTCTTCCACTTAAAAAAATAAAAATACATTTATTATAAATACTATGTCTATTTAAAAAATACTTATAAAATTTTAAAAGTAAAAAGAAAAAAAAATTAAAAATTTCTTATCGTCAATAGACATATTAAAACCATTTATCGATACCTCATAAATTATATACAAACATTTTAATGTATTTTGAAAAGTTTATATGAATGTTTTTAAAGTTGTTTTTGAAGTAAAAATAATAATAATAATAATAATGTTATAAAAAGTATTTTTTGAAACCATTTTCAAACATCTGTTTCCATACAAAACTCTGGATAAAGTTATTGTTTTTTAGTATTTTTTAAGTTTTAAGCTTATCTTTTTAGACTTATTTATTTATTTATTATTGAATAATTTTATAAGAAAGTACAAAATTGAAGGATATTTTAATAAAAACAATTTCAAGAACATTTTTTCAAACTCAAGTTTTGTTCCTAAAAGTAAGTTCGTAAGGGTAACAATAGGAAGTAGAATTAGAATGTATGAGTTTCTTTTTAGTTATTAATACTGGCAGTTCTTTTCTCCTCAATTCAAGTTTTTTCATCTGTTTTCAAATTGATTTCACGTATGAACATAACATTGTTTAGCTCTGAATTCATTTAACGTACCTGTAACTAATTACAAGATGCCTCCGGTGGATCCCTGCGATTGTATGAGCAAGATCGTCACCTGAAAAAAGCAACACTGCAGAATTAATTAGTGCTAACAAATCTTCTCTCTCTTAACAGGGCTGTCGAGATGGAAATATACCAATATGTCCAATACGAATGTAAATTATAAAAAATATATTGAATTCGATCGGACGAAACAATTCATGTGCTGCTATTTTAGATTACTTAATAAGTTGCATGTCTTTTAACACGATATACTTACCTACAAGTCAGGAGGTATCTTGATTGAGAAATTCCAAACATGTACGAGGACTTACAGTGAAATTCCAAGCATGAATGAGGAGTTACAGTCTAGGTTTGCAGGTCCCATAATAATGACGTCTTTTCTAATATACTCAAGGTAGGTTGTTTGACATTAGGTGAGAAAGGTGCCGCCCCTCTCACTCGCGTGGAACACCTTGAACCTAAATATAGGTCTCATGATTTACCTTGCACTCTCAAGATGTCGAAGGTGGGCTAATCGACGATATGTAATTGAATACAGATCTCTGAGTCTCTATGGTTTCATAAATACGTCTAGGAATACAATGCCAGGCAGTCCCCAATAGGTAGCTTCGAATATCCTCTTGGCCAAACACTGTAATGGAGAAAACAATGACGGGAGTGATAGACTGTCCAAGCAATTATAATTCATTCCCTAAGAAACCAGAATCATTCTTTCTAATTCAAAGCTCCTATGTTGGTAATATATACGGTATAGTTTCCAAGTGAAAGCGCTTCTAATCGCTGATACTTGGAGCGTAAATTTCCTCAGCAACTTTGACACTAGCTAACCTAACCTCATACCACGGTAGGGTAGCCGGTGAAGATGATTACTACTATTCGAGTAAGTAACTACTATTACGCATTGCACTGAACCATTCTGTTGACCAAGGACAAATGTAGTACAGGAACTCTAAGAGAATAAATTTAAATCTTATGGTGCGTATAGCCACCTATCCATGTACATAGCATGGACAGCTAACTAAAACTTGGACCGGTAGAAGGGGCTGTAATGCGAGAAAGAGAACAAAACATAATGTTATTCATAAACCTTTGTTTCAGTTTTGA